AAAAAAAAAAAAAAAAAAAAAATTGGGCGCATGATCCGCACATCACTAATTTGCGCATGGCGCATGGCGCACCGCAAAAGTGCGCCGCAAGTATGGTTTTTAGAAGTAGAGTAGGAGCCATAGACTCAGGGGCCTCTCGTAGTTATATTAGCCGTAGGGCGTTGAAGAAGCTAAGGCTAGGGTTGAAAGTCCAAAAATTGGAAGACCCCATAGTTAGTGTCCTCGCAGACAACCGCACTATGCGTGTTGAGGACTACGTAGAGGGAGTCCAAGTGTATTTTCGCCTAGAGAAAGATGGGAAGGTGGAGAAAGTTCTCCATTCCCTGACTCTCCTCCTACAAGATGGCCTTCCTTTCGACATAGTCCTAGGTATGGACTGGGGGGAGGCAGCAGGGGCCACACTCCACTTGAGAGAGCATGAGTGTAGGCTCCCTATCCGTCAGGCGAGGTAAAGACGACCCGCCTGTTCCAAGTGTGAGGAGTAGACAACTCTCTGGCACATTGTTGTCTAAGTGCTCCCGCGTTTGCGCGATTAGTTAAAAAGGAGCAGCTAGAGGAGCAGGTCTTCGTAGCTTATTTAAGGCCTATCACTGAGCCTAAAGAAGACACACCCATCGATCCAGCTATTGCCAAGCTGTTGGAAGAGTTCAAAGATCTCGCAGAGCCGCCAACAGGGGTAGTGTCGCGGCCGATCCAACATCGTATAGAGATAGAGCCTGGCAGTAGGACTCCTAAGGGAGCAGTCTATAGGATGTCCCCAAGGGAGTTAGAGGAGCTGCGTAAGCAGTTAGACGAGCTCCTCGAAAAGGGTTGGATTAGGCCCAGTTCGTCTCCTTTTGGAGCACCAGTCTTGTTCGTCCCCAAAAAGGAAGGAGAGTTACGGATGTGCATAGACTATAGGGGTCTAAACGCAATCACAGTAGAGAACGTTGAGCTGCTGCCCAGGATAGACGATTTCCTAGATCGAGTGCAGGGCTGCAGATATTTTTCGAAGATTGATTTGAAGTCCGGGTATCATCAGATAGAGGTCCATCCTGATGACCAGTACAAGAATGCGTTCCGGACTAGATATGGGCACTATGAGTTCATAGTGATGCCCTTTGGACTAACCAATGCGCCTGCTACGTTCCAACGGTGTATGAACGATTTGTTTAGGCCATGGTTAGACAAATTTGTTGTAGTTTATCTAGATGATATATTAGTATTCAGTAGGACCCTCCAAGAGCATCAGGGTCATTTGAGGCAGGTCTTGGAGAAGCTGAGAGAAGGTAACTTCAAGATCAATGCAAAGAAGTGCGAGTGGGCCAAGACACAAGTCTTATACTTGGGCCACATGTTAGACGGAGATGGCATTAAGCCTGAGGACAGCAAGATAGCGGCGATTAGAGATTGGTCGACGCCCCGCACGTTGACTGAGTTGCGGTCGTTCCTAGGTCTGGCTAACTACTATCGGAAGTTTGTGAGGAACTTCTTGACTATTGCCGCTCCCCTCCGCAGGTTGCTCAAGAAAGAGGCAATCTGGCAGTGGGATAAAGACTGTACGTCTGCGCGAAAGAAATTAAAGCGCGCGTTAATAGAGTACCCTGTCCTCAAAGTAGCAGATCCGTCCTTGCCATTTGTCGTCACCATGGACGCGAGTCAGCATGGCATAGGCGCCGTGTTGCAGCAAGACGACGACAATGGCTACAGACCCGTAGAGTTCATGTCAGCGAGGATGCCCTCAGAAAAGGTAGCTACCTTGACATATGAGAGATAACTCTACTCTCTCAGGCAGGCCTTAGAACACTGGAAGCACTCCCTGCTTGGGAGGCACTTCAAAGTGTATTCAGACCACGAGACTCTTAGGTGGCTGAAGACCCAGGCTAACATGAAACCTAAGTTGACTAGGTGGGCCGCTGAGATAGACTAGTACGACTTTGAGCTCAAGCCTGTCAAAGGCAAATACAATGTAGTTGCGGATGCTCTAAGTAGGAGATCAGACTACTTTGGAGCTATAGTTCATTATCTGGATATAGGGAGTGACCTGCAGGAGAGAGTAAGACAGGCGTATGCGCAGGACCCCATTTACGGTGATCTCCTGAAGAGAGTTAAGGAGGCCCCAGAGACCGAACCAGATTACCGCACTACAGAGGGGTTGTTATTTGAGAAGACTAATGTAGTAGACCGTCTATGTGTTCCTAACAGCGAGGAGATCCGCAGTTTGATAGTAGGGGAATGCCACGACACGGAGGGACATTTCGGTTTGCAAAAGACTCTGGCCAATCTGATGCATGCGTACACTTTGCTAGGAATGAAGGCTGACTGCATAGAGTATGTCCGCAATTGCAAAGTGTGCCAGAGAAACAAGACTACTACGTGTGCCCCTCTAGGTATTCTCAGACCCTTGCCTATTCCTGATCAGCAAGGAGATTCAGTGTCCATTGACTTTATGGACGCCGGCGTCAAGAGTAGGCATGGTAAGAGCCAGGGCATGGTCATAGTTGATAGATTCAGTAAGTATGTTGTTTTTGTTCCTTTGCCTGCAGAGGCACGCACCGAGCTAGTCATTCAGAAGTTTTTCGATTTTTCGGGTAGTGAGCATGGAGTCCCATTGTCCATTGTTAGTGATAGAGACACCCGTTTCACGAGTCAGAACTGGCAGGAACTAATGAAAGTTTATGAGTCAAAGTTGCTGATGTCATCTGGCCGTCATCCAGAGACTAACGGTCGGACTGAACAGATGAACAAGATCCTGCAACAAGTTCTGCGCATGTACATTAGACCAGATCAAGTCAATTGGGACGAGATGTTGCCCAAGGTAGCCAGTGCGTATAACAACAGCGTGCACCTGTCCACTTGTCGCACTCCCAACGAGTTACACAAGTCTTTTAGACCGCGCAGACCGTTTGAAGGACTTAACCGGGACCAGATTCCCAGGCTACCGCCTGGTACCAGGGAGTTTGCGATACAGCACGAGAGAAAACTAGCTACAGTCGTTGAGAACCTCAGGAAGGCCCAGCATAGAATGATAGAGCAAGCCAATAAGCACCGTCGCCCATCGCAGTTCCAAGTAGGAGACTTAGTCTGGGTCAAGTCCAAAGAGTTTGCTCCTGAGGAAAACATCTCGCACAAGTTACTGCCAGCGTACAGGGGACCATGGCCGGTTCTAGAAGTCAAGGGCGGAGAGGATGGACCGTCCTACACAGTAGAGATCCCAGCACACCTCCACACCTACCTTGTGTTTCATGCATCAAAATTATTGCCGTGTGTCACAAGTCAACAGTTTCCAACTAGAAGGTCTATGATCCCTCCAGACATGGATGGAAGGTACGACATTGACGGCAGGTGAAGATGTATTTAGAACAGGAGGTAGAGGTCGTCCACAGAAACAATATAAGATCCGGTTTGCTTATCAGGAACCAGAGGACGACCACTGGTTTACTAGAACGAAACTTCTAGAAACAGCTCCCGACATAGTTAGAGCCTACGAGAGAGATAAGAAAGGTAAAGGTCCTGCCTTGGACTGAGTTATTCTCGGAGGACCTCGAATTCAGGTCGGCGGGAGTGAAACAGTATTCACCTGCTAGCAGTAGCAAATGCAGATCCCAGGGCTCGATCCCTAGACCTTACCTTACCTGTGTGCATTACTTGCGTCGACCCCGAGAGTTGAACCCGTGACCTGTGTATTTGTAACAGTTGGTAGACTGTCGTAGGTCCGTAGGTGGTAGGGGTTCGATCTGTAGACCTATTGGATAGAGGTCTTAGTGAGGCCTAGAGGTCGTAGCGGTAGGTGTCCTGAGAAGTCAAGGTCGTAGCGGCTACAGTCCTGAAAGGTCAAGGTCGTAGCTGCTACAGTGTTCGAAAGGCCAAGTCTACAGCCTTCCGGAAGGTCCTAGTGGTGGCCTTCGAAGTATTGCTCACTATTAGACAGAGGCAAGTGGGCAAGTGGTGAGCCCAACTGCGGTACATCGGCAGTGCGACTGCATTGAGTTGACAGTGCAAACCAATGCAGTCTGCGGTACCGGTCCCAGTCAGTCACAGTCCAGTCAAGCAAGTACCGTGTGGGACTGTGTGCACCGGGGGCATGGGAAAGGGGCAGACCAACGAGCTACAGAAGTATAAATCAGGAGGCAGCGCCCAGCCATTCATTCATTCCTGCGTAAGCCATGCGGAAGCGCTGCCACAGCGACTTGTGCGAGGTGGTCTGCAGTGAGCCCGAAGACGAAGTGGGCGAGAAGGAGAGCTTAGCCATAGCGATAGGGGCAGTAGCGGCCATAGCCGCCATAGTTGATAGAGGAGTGTAGCGTGTGTGTGTGTGTGTGTGTACAGTGTGACGCGTGTGGGATATCCAGGGTGATCCTGTGTGTGTGAACAGCAGAGTTGGGTTGGCGACGGACAGAGAGATGTAGAGGCGCTGTTGCGCCATAGCTGTTTGAAGTGAGCTTGTATCTGAACTGCGTTCTTGGTTACCATATCTCTGCGTTCTGAGTGGGCGATTGTCGCCAGTTTGCTGCACTGCCTGTTTACATGCATGTGAGTTGTGAAAAGAAGCGAGTCTGATTGCATCAGAGGCAAACTTATACTTACCTTCAACCGCTATCCCACACTATCCCGTGTCTTCTACCTCTACTGCACCGACACACCGAGGGTCCTTCCACAAGACTGAAGCATCCCCAGGCCCCTCCCACCCAGAGAAGCCACTGCCATACCAGGAGTTACCCTACTAGCAGCTTCTCCACCGTCCATACCTCTGTATACCATATGTCTATTAATCCTGAGAGCAAAATGCAGCTATCTTCGTCAGCGCCTCAAGTTCCCCTCTGGAGATTATTGTCATAGTCGTGTTGTGTGAGCTTTCAGTCTCTTCAATTTGGGATGTTTGCTGGGTTTGTGGGGTTTGGGGTTGCTCTGTGTGGGGCGTACGCATGGTGAAAAGTCATCTTCCCGGTTTCCATGACATCTTCAAACATCAAGATCAGCTTTCCAGATTTAATTTCAATAAGACCATGATCCACGTTTTAGGCTTGAACAACTTGATGAAAGTAACTTTTGAGGAAATCTCTCTCTCTCTCTCTCTCTCTCTCTCTCTCTCTCTCTCTCTCTCTCTCTCTCTCTCTCTCTCTCTCTCT